CAGCAACAGCAGCAGCAGCAGCAGCAGACGGTCACTGTGGCAGCAGTGGGCCGAACACAATTTGAACTTGGACAGCTACGGGGGAGACCTGGAGCAGCTCTATTTGGACTGCAACGGGTGGAAGCCTCGTGCTGCTGCTACTGCTGCTGCTGCTGCTCCTGCTGCTGCTGCTGCTGTTGCTCCCAAGTTCAAGAAGCAAACAGCAATTGTTAATCCCCCCCTGGTCAACACCATGGACGCTAGGTGAGGCTTTTTGGTTTTTTAATTTAATTAATTAAATTAAATTAAATTCATTAAATTAAAAAACCAAATTTAATTTAGTTTAATTTAATTCGGCTGCTGCGTCTTTTTGCTGCTGCTGTCTTCGAAGCAAAATGGAAAGTTAAAATTCAAAAACGGAATTTGAATTTAATTAATTTTTATTATTTGAATTATAATTATAAATAAATAACAATAAAGTATTTATAATTTGATTAATAATTAATAATAAATAAATAATGAAATAATTATAATTTAACCATAATTAAAAATTATCACAATTTAATCATAATTAAAAATAAATGTATAATAATAAAATAACTATATTTTAATTAATAATAAATAAATAAAAATAAAATAATTAAAATTTAAAAATGTTTAAAATGTGTCTGCAGGCACCAGCACGGGCTGCTGTACACTGCAACAGAAGCAGCAGAACCTGCTGCTGCTGCTGCTGCTGCTTCTTCGCTCAACATTTACTCAGCAGCAGACTTGTCTTTGATACAAACCACCCAAATACAAACAAAAGCAATCAACTGCCTGGACGGTCAGCTGCTGCTGCTGCTGCTGCTGCTGCTGCCGCTGGAGTTGACTGGGATGTCCAGCTGCTGCTGCTGCTGCTGCTGCTGCTGCTGGCCCTCTTTCGAGGCAGTATTTTCTGGGCTTCTTGGTACTAATTTGAATTTATTATTTGCAATTAATTAATTTAATTAATTTAATTAATTTAATTAATTTATTTATTTCAGTTACAAGTGACCTCTTGGCCTGCGGCGACGACAACGGCTGCCTCCACTTCTTCGACCCTTTCACGCTGCAGCGCAGAAGCAAACTGGCCACGTAAGCAGCAGCAGCAGCAGCTGCAGCAGCAGCAGCTGTTGCTGCTGCTGCTGCCGCTGCTGCAGCTCCAGCAGGAGTATATAATTGTTTAGTTTATTATATATTCATCCATTTATTTATTCATTTATTTGCTTTTTGTGCTCGTTCTTTTCATTAAGCAGCTTTTTGTGTCTCCTGATCCTTAGCCTTTGCTGCGATTAGGGTTTAGGGTTTAGGGTCTAGGGTCTAGGGCCTAGGGTTTAGGGTTTAAAGTTTGTCTCTAGGGTTTGGGGTTTAGCTTAGAAGCCTCATTTCCCCCCCCCGGCGGCCCCTTGAGCCCCCGAAAACCCCACCCAGGCTTCAGTGTTTAGGGTTTAGGGTTTAGGGTTTAGGGTTTGTGCAGGGCTCCTACGGGCTCTTTCTTGTGAAATAAAAAGGGCGTAGGGTTTAGGGTTTAGGCTTTAGGGTTTGTGCAGGGCCCCCGCTGGGTCTTGGGGCTTTTCTTGTGAAACAAAAAGGGTTTAGGGTTTAGGGTTTGTGCAGGGCCCCGGCCGGGTCTTGGGGCTTATCTTTTAAAACAAAAAGGGTTTAGGGTTTAGGGTTTAGGGTTTAGGGTTTGTGCAGGGCCCCGGCTGGGTCTTGGGGCTTTTCTTTCGAAATAAATGATTTGCGGATTTGCCGCGGAGACGGCAAGCTCTTGGCTGTACAGACAGCTCGCCGCTACCCCTTCGGCTTTTTGCTGCTGGACATTTCCTCGCAAAAGGCCCTTTGCTTCTCCGACAGACAAACCAACGGTGAGCAGCAGCAGCA